CTTAACTGCTGTGGCCTGGCCCTGATTGCCAAGACAACCAAAGCCTGCCTCTCACAAGTCTGACTGTGAACATACACATACACACAGACACATAGCTAGCTAAAGAGGATGAAAAGGTATCAATATCCTAGCGCTAGCTAGCTAGCTTGCTTGAGAGGATGACATGCTATTAATATACGGGCCAGAGTCAGGCACACTCAAAATTTCCTTAGGAATTTTCTAGTTATCATTATCGTTCTGCTGCAGAGTCCAATGATGTCCAATGATTTTAACTAAATGTGCTTTGGGGAGTGTCTAAAAAGTGCTACTGTTCATAAACTCAAGCTGAACATGCGCATTAATCTACGGTCATTGTTTTATTTCAGATCCAATCATTTGTTTTCTCTCTTATGGTATCAGTCTTTGTTTTTGATAGTTTCGGTTTTATTCGTCCAGGTTGAGATTTCTGCATCCACAGCACAATGGCATCTGGTATGGTATTTTGATAATCCACCACCATCATCTGGAACTGGAACTACTCTCTCCTGTAAGAAACTGTCCACAGGTCCAGCTGTAGTCTTTCTGAACTTTTCCTGCTATGTCTTTCAGGCTAAAGTAGAGAAAGCTGATGATGTGAAAGCCAGGCTGATATTGGAAAAACTGGATCAAGATGAAGCCAAGTCACAGGCCCAGCAAGAGATGTTTGCTTGTGTCAAAAAGCAAGAGGAGAGTCAGAAGGAATACACTAAAAGCATGAATGCACTGCAGGTACAGTTGTCTCTCTAACTAGGGGTGTCCCGTTCTGATCTCAGCGATAAGTGTTGATGCTAATGAAGGCGTTTTTAATTGATATCGAGTATATTGAGCTTCATTGACCCAATCCTATCTTGTGCTTTATGTCAGCTGTCACACAGCTGTTTTTGCTCACAAAGCTTTCAGGCATGGTGCATCCATTGTCACCTCTGTCTGCTGTCTCTTTTCCTCCACTCTGCTCTGTGTGTGACAGAGCAGGAGCAGCACCGCTTTTCACTTCAGGCAAAAAAGCCCCGTCAATAAAAAGCCAATAAGTCAATTTATTAATGTAATTCATGCAATAGATATACAGACGACGGATATAAACACCCAGCAAAATCCAGTTCATTCACGTAACTCAAGCAAAGGCTCCACTGAAGCTACAAACATTTGAGAGAGACAAAAATATTATAGAGATGTTTGTTACTTTATACTTTATTGTGTAAAAAAAGCAAAAAGGGACAGCTTCAATACATGAATTTTCTATCTTAATGCAATGTAGAGCTATTTAATTGTGAGGCATTAACATTGGATTAACATAATATCATTGAAGTGTGCACTCTGCATTGTATTATCTAAATAATGAATAAATAAAAGTATTGGATCGGGACTTGGTATACTGCTATACTCAAGATTAAATGACTCGGATGGGATCGGGGGCCAAAAAAACATGATCGGGACAGCCCTATCTGTAACATCTACAGGCTGCTAAGATTGGAATAACAAGGAACTCACTACATTTTTTCACTTCATTCTTTCACACAGGAGGAAATCCTGAAGCTTGGTAAACGCAAACAGGATTTGCTGGACCAACTGAAGAGATATCAAGATGAATTGGAGGCGAAGAGGGCCGAGTCCACCAAACTGAAGCAGAAATTCAAGGTGGGAATGAAGCCCAAGTAGACCCCTCTAAGTCCCAACCCTTTTTGCTCTCAATAATATTTGAGCAACCAGAGGAAAGGAGAAATTTAAACGAGGTTCTGATCGTGGCTTGTTCAATTGCTATTGGAGCACAGAGCAAAAAGGGGCAGGACGAGGGGAAGCGTCAATTGTTCTTCCCTAACTACAGTTGGTCACTGCATCCTTTTTTAGTCTATTGATTAGTCACAATACATAGTGTTGTGCAGTAGTGTCGCTACAAGCAGCAATATTACTAATTTAACTACATTTCTCAGTAGCGTGGTGTTAGTGTTGTTGTTTTTTTAATCAAATAGCTTTTTAGTAGCTTTGCTCTTTTATTGATCAAGTAGTGCGGCAGTGTCCACACAAGCTACATTTTCTCAAGCATCTCTGAAACTCCAGCACATTGGAGTTTTCTGCTGCCGTCTGAATAAAACTGCTTTGGATCAGTAAGTGACGCCACTGCCATACACAAACACAAAGCATTTCCGTAGTATGGTGGAATGACATCACTATGACGTCTGCTTTAGGGGAATACAGACATGCAAGCTTATATTAACTTGTGGTTTCAGTTTCCAAGAATACACATTCAGGTGATTCCTGAATAACATATCTGTCGCCAATCAGATGAACCATTACAATTCAGTGCGGTCTACACCAGCTAGCAACTTGTTAACAGCCTACCAAACTCGCTAAAATTTTGGCTGTTGGCATAAAATGAATAAAATACCACCAAACTAAATATACAGTAGCGTATATAAGCAGGGGTAGGCCTACACCAAAAATGCAACTGAAAACCAAAGAAGAGTGGTTAGTCAAAAATAGATATGTTACAGCAGCCCCTTGACATTAATCAAAATACAAAAATGTAAATACAAATACAATTAAAGGAAGTATAGCAATTGACTTGGAATAAAGTTGCTTCAATGTATAAATAAAAAAAAAATAGCTTTTTGTTTGTTATGATGCAATAACTTATCTTGTAGCGTCATTTAATGTATTGCATGGATCTCAAAATGCCGGCCCAGGGGCCCGTTTCTGCACCATGATGTAAAAAATATAACGAAATCTGGCCTGAGATTTTTATTTTTCCTAGTTGTTTTTCATTACTTTAAATCCCCTCATATATGGTTAAAATAAAAACACACTTCTGTTTTTTTTTTTTTTTAAATGTATTTAGTTTGGACAAAATAATGGCAAATGGTTGATAAGAACAGAGTAGGTTTCAGGCCTTCATTTGTCGTTTGGCTGAAAACAACAAAGATGATATAAAATGATGATTTAAAGATGCAGATGCTGTCTGTTTATTGCATAAAAGTATGATGTTAGTAATGGATATTGTCAGAATATTGCGCTTTCTTTTAGTACTTGAATGTTGAAGTGGCCTGGCTATGAGACGACAACCCAATTCAAGGGGCGGCTGTGGCTCAGAGGTAGAGCGGGTCGTCCCCTAATCGGAAGGTTGTTGGTTCGATCCTGGTGCCA